GTGGCCGGGCCTCACCCGGAGGGGTCAGGGTGAGGCCCTTTCCCGCCTGCCCCGGCTGAGGAGCCGAACCCAAGGGATGGGCGAGTGGGCCCCGCGGCTGCTTTAGGCCTGGAGCTGCGAATCAAGGCATGGGTCGTGATGTCTTAAATAATACTGTGTTCTGCCCTTTTCCTTAATTATGGGCCTCTGAGTGGCTAGAAATAGTCCGCTCCTTATCAAGAGCTGGTTGTCGTGACTCCAGGAATGGGAGCTGTGTGTGTCTGGCAGGAAGGCTGCAGCAGGTACTGTGTAGCTGTTAAAAGCTGTGGGATCCCACTAGCAGAGCGTGTCCGCTGCTTGCTGCAGCCCCCGTCCCTGCCCGCTCTTAACACACCAGGAGTTGTGGAGGAAGATGCTGTTTGTGCAGGTTGGAGGTCAGCCGGGCGTCTTGGCAGCTGTGGGTGGCTTGGGGGAGTTAAAGATGCAGGTAGTGGTCACCTTTGTTTTCACAAGACAGGTCCTCGTGTGATGCCTCCCATCGTGCCATGTCCCCTCAAGCTTCGTGGTGAGGGTGCTCCTGTCCAGAGGGACCTGTGCGCCCTGGGGCTGGGGCTCAGGGAGGCAGTGCCTCTCCCCCTGTGGCACCTGGCAGGGTGGGCAGGTGGCCGCATGCCTGGCCATCTCCCAGGGCAAGTGGCACAGGCTGGGTCAGAGGCCACCTCTCCTGTTGGAGCACATCAGAGGTGCTCAGCTCCCTTGCTCCTGGCCCTCTTTTGTGAGCTGCAAGGTGCCAGGGTTGGGTGGGCGGCAGCTGAGTCTTCCTTCTGGGCCACTGCCCTTGTATTCCCCTGTGTCCAGGACCACTGGAGTCTAAGTTGCCCTGTGGAGCCAAGGAGATGTGTGGGCAGAGATGTGCTGCTCCTGCCCTGCCGCAGGGACTGGGGAAGAGAAAGCAAGCGAGGGTCAAGGGCAAGGGTTGGTGCGGTGCTCCAGCCCAGGATGGTGCCAGCTGTCATCTCCGTCCTGTTCTGGTCTTGGTACTGCCACCCCCTGTGTCCCAGTTCATCCCAGAGGAGGGGAGCAGGAGATCTCGGGCAGCACTTTGGGAAGGTGAATGCCATGCCTGGTCCTGTCCTCCATCTGGGAGACCTCCTGGCGTCGCCAGGGAGCAGTTGGAAAGCGCAGCTCCCTCTGCTGCGTTGGTGCTTTCAGCTGGGGGTCAGGGTTTCTGTCCTGCTGTGGGGGGATTTTGGGCTGCAGGGCTCTCCAGCCAGAATCGTTAACAGCGCTAATTACTTGGCTGATGGAAGATGGGCTGGAGGGGGGTTGGTGGTGACAGCTGTGTTTCAGCTCAGCTCCTCGGGGCACTCACTGAGTCCCACATCTATCCCTCAGGGCGTCGTTAAAGCAATTATAATGGGAAGTGTTAACAGCGCTAGCAGCTGCTTTCCAGGTTCTGGCGGCTTCCCTTCCTCTTCCCTGTGGCTCTCTTCCTTTTCCCCATGGCTCCCTTTGCTCCCGCCTCAGGTCCGGAACTTGGCAGGGTGAGTTTAATGTTTCCACTTTTGGGTCTGGGCAGTTGGCTGGTCTCCAGCTGCCCCCCCAGGCTTGGCAGGGCGAGCTGCTCCCTACTGCAGTGGGGCAGGATGCCAGCCTGCCCCTCGGGCAGTGGGAAGGGAGGGCTGCCCACCACAAATCCCAGGTGGGAGCTGGTGCTTCCCCTGGGACCGGAGTTGCCGTCTCCCTGCCTGCAGATCGCCTGCCTTCAGGAGAGGTGAGGAGAAGGAGGGCTTTGCCTGAGATGCTTCGCTGCAGGCGTGGTATGAACTGCAGTGCTGCCATCGTAATTGTTTCTCTGTGCAGACATCTCAAGTCTCTTGGGAGATTTGTTCCCCAGGCTGGTGCTCAGGGCTTGCTTACTCCCTTCTTGGTGTATAACAGATTCAGAAAAGCTGCTCAGACCACCTGCTGTTTATCGCCAGCACCTGACTGCAGCCCGCAATTAGCCTTCGGTGGGTCGATGAGCACAGTGTCCCCAGGGCAGCTGTCACCTCCCCAACAGTTAGTCCGTCCCTGGCTGTGTGTCCAGCAGCCACAGTTGCTTCCAGCGCTGCAGGCAGGGAGAAGCACTATAATGTCCCTCTTTCCTGGGATGCAAGGGGTTCATCCCTGAGTACATGCTGGTTTAGTGCTTCTTCCATCAGTCCCAGTGTTGCAGGCACTGAGCGGGGCTGCGGCTGCTTGGAGCCAAGCCCAGTAGCTAGGGGCTAAGGGAAGTGTCTCGGGCTTGAGGCGATGTCCCTGTGTTTCTGAGGCTGCTAGCCACCCTGAGTGCAAGCCAGGGTTTGCCTGTCAGCAGCCGACACAGCCCTGATCCCATTCCCAGCCTGACTTTGCATCACTTTTCCCTGGCTTTGTCCCAAGGCTGCTGTCAGTACCTGGCTCTTACACCAGGAGCAGCGCTTACCTGCCATTACAGTGTGTGTGCCTGCACTCTGGAGGGGACGGGGGTTGCCCCGTGGAGCGTGGAACCGTCTGTGTGCTATTTTGGCTTGCTGGAGTTGGATCCTGCCTCGTGCACAGGAGCCATTGGTGTTTTCCAAAGCATGCAGTGCTCACCAAGGCACCCCTCTGCAGCTGGGATCGGCCAAGTGTGGGCTTGCTGGAGGCAGGGAAGAGCCCCACCATCCCCGGGGCACACGGACCAGATGTGGCCTCACCTCGCAGGGCTCTTGCAGCTCAACTACTTGCGCCGCTTTTATTTATTTTGAGCTTCAGGCAGTTGCCATGTGTGCATTGGTGGTGCTTTTCTAACGCACCGCAGGAGCAGAGGATCCTGTGTGTGAGGGAGAAGCATCAGCTGTGTTTGCTGAGGTTCATGCTGAGCCCAGGGTGTGCTCACCCCGGATTAGAGGCCACCTCAGCCCCATGGGATCCCCTCTGAAATTTTGCTCTCCCTCTTCACCCACAGACTCTACTGAGCAAGGCCAGCCTGGGAGCGGGAAGCGTTTGACTTCACTTAATTCTGCATTTGTTAAGTGCCTGGGTGACACTTCACTGTCTTTGGGATGAGCTAGCTGGCCTTAGTGACACTTGGAGTCAGAGATGCTATTACATGAGCCCTATGTCCCTCTGATGATGGAGAGCTCTGCAAGATTAAGCTTTTGCCTTGATGGTAAGTGGCATGCCCGAGGCAGGGAGGCAGCAGGGTGGCACAGGCAGGTGGGACCTGCTGGTGCTGCTCCTGCCGGCGGACAGAGCTGCCCCTGCAGCCGGGGAGCCCTGGCATGTGTGACCCTGCAGCTGTGAGACCCCTGATACGCAAGTGAATCCTTTAGCCTGGAGAAAGTTTTGCTTTAAAACCCGGAGAAATCCCCAGCATGTGGGAGCTGCAGGTTCCTGTCTCAGCTGGTAGAGGTAAAGCTCCAAAGCGCATCCCGTGACTCCTACAGGGTGTTCAGAGTGCTCCTGCCCTGCTTTCCTGCAAGGGAAGCAGCCTGGCCGACTGGAAGCCTGAGTCCCAGAAGGACGGTTACCTAACGCCGGTCGGCTTAGGGCAGCCTCTCTTCCCTGCAGTGACTCGGGTCGGGAGGAGCTTCCGTGGCTCCGG